GGGGTTGCGGTCAGTTCATCACACGTTGTCTCTTCCCCTCCTTCCTCCTCAGGGGAGGACTCCTCACACTGTCCCTCCCACGGGAGACAGCTCTCCACAAATTTCTCCATCATGAGTCCTTCCCACAGGCTGCAGTTGTTCATGAACTGCTCCAGCGTGGGTCCCTCCCATGGGGTGCAGTCCTTCAGGAACACACCACTCCAGCGCGGGTCCCCCATGGGGTCACAAGTCCTGCCAGCAAACCTGCTCCAGCATGGGCTCCTCTCTACATGGGTCCACAGGTCCTGCCAGGAGCCTGCTCCAGTACAGGCTTCCCATGGGGTCACAGCCTCATTTGGGCATCCACCTGCTCCGGCGTGGGGTCCTCCATGGGCTGCAGGTGGGTATCTGCTCCACCATTAACCTCCATGGGCTGCAGGGGGACAGCCTGCCTCACCATGGGCTTCACCACGGGCTGCAGGGGAATCTCTGCTCCAGCGCCTGGAGCACCTCCTCCCCTTCCCCAACATGATGGGTCAGGACGTCATCCTGTTTTTGCCAGGTCACATGAAACTAAAGATAAAAAGTGCTTTTACAGTGAGCTGAAACTCAATCATTGCAAGTCTCTTGAATTCTCTTTTTACAAATGTTGTGGTTTAAGCCCAGCTGGCAATTAAGCACTAGACAGCCGCTTACTCCCCCCCGGTGGGATGGGGGAGAGAACTGGGAGAGCAGAAGTGAGAAAACTCGTGGGTTGAGATGAAGACAGTTTAATAGGTAAAGCAAAAGCCGTGCACGCAGGCAAAGCAAAACAAGGAATTAATTCACTACTACCCATCAACACGGTTTCCAGCACAAATCCAAAACATAGCCCCATACTAGCTTCTATGAAGAAAATTAACTCTATCCCAGCCAAAACCAGCACATTCTCCACCCCTTATATTCTGTACCATTTACATCATGCTCAGGTCTCACACTATTCAATACATCCTTATTAACCACCACCACCCTTCCCATCCTTTGATACAATATACAGATATCATACCCCTAGTCTATGGGCTTCCCCTGTAAAACATCCATCAAATGTCCACAAAATGTCCATTGAGTTCATTTACTCCATGACTTTGGGCTCCATCTCTTATGGAGTTATTGGGCACCAAAGCCAGCTCAGGTCAGGTCACTGGTTCACTTACACTGCTTCTTGTAAGGCCTGAACCTCCACTGGTTCAGGTGGTTCCTGCTATAGTAATTCCCATAATGTGCAACTCAAACATGAGTTACAACGATTTAAAGGTATTTCCATTAAAATCTCCACCCCTGGCCCCTTTGGACCAGAGCATAGGGGTTTAACGTTGCAATGAACTCCTCCCCTTGCCTCTGCTTGGACTTATCCACAGGCTGCTGTCCCTTAGGGGTGTACCTGCTCCACGTGGAGCCTTACCTATGAGCCACGGTCTCTGCAGGTGTATACCTGCTGTGGCATAAACTTATCCACAGCCACAGTAGGTTTGAGGTGCACCTGTTCCAGCGTAGCCTTCTCCATGGGCCACAATGCCTTCAGAGATGTACCTGCTTCAACATGGCCTTACCCATGGCTGCAGTCCCTCCAGGAGCGTACCTGCTCTGTTGTGGGCTTATCCGTGGCCACACGCTTTGAGGTGCTTCAACATGGCCTTACCCACAGCCACAGTCTCTGGAGAAGTAAACCTGCTCCAACATGGCCTTACCCATGGCTGCAGTCCCTCCAGGAGCGTACCTGCTCTGTTGTGGGCTTATCCGTGGCCACACGCTTTGAGGTGCTCTGGCGTGCACAGCCACTAATGCTTCAAGGTATACCTGCTGCAGCATGGACTTATCCACAGGCACAGATACTTTGAGGTGTACCTCCTCCAGTGTGGACTTATCCTTGGGCCACAATCTCTTCAGAGGTATACCTGCTGCGGCACAGACATAACCATGGTCACAGACACTTCAAGATGTACCTGCTCAGGTATGAGCTCATTCACGGCCCCAGATGCTTCAAGGGTGTCCTGCTCCCACATGGACTCATCCACAGGTCACAGTCCCTTCGACTTGAGTTCCAGCCTGTCCAGTACAGCAGCACAGAAACAGCAGCAATGCCCTGGCCATCTGCCAGCCCAGGCGCAAGGCCATTGCTGTTATCAAAATGTTCCCAGGCACAGCACAGTAAGATAAGCACTACAGCAGTATAGCAAGGGGCAAAAGCAAAAAACAGCCACTAACGAGCACTAGACTCTAACATACAGCGAGGCAAGCAAGCCCCATGGCAAGCACAGAAGCCTGTCAATTAATAGCTAAACAGCAACAGCTATAAATTCAATCTAGCACATTCCAATCAAAACTGTCATTATGTCAAACCCTTTGAGCCCCACATTGGGTGCCAAAAACGACTGTCGTGGTTTAACCCCAGCCAGCAACTAAGCACCATGCAGCCGCTCGCTCGCTCCCCTCACACTGGGATGGGGGAGAGAATCAGAAGGGTAAAAGTGAGAAAACTCATGGGTTGAGATAAAGACGGTTTAATAGGTAAAGCAAAAGCCATGCAAGCAAGGCAAAACAAGGAATTCATGCACTACTTCCCATCAGCAGGCAGGTGTTCAGCCACCTCCAGGAAAGCAAGGCTCCATCACGCCTAATGGTTACTTGGGAAGACAAACGCCAGCACTCCGAACATGTCCCCCCCCCTTCCCTCTTCTCCCCCCAGCTTTATATGCTGAGCATGACATCATACGGTATGGAATAGCCCTTTGGTCAGTTGGGGTCAGCTGTCCCAGCTGCATCCCCTCCCAACTTTTGCACCCCCAGCCTCCTCGCTGGTGGGGTGGGGTGAGAAGCAGAAAAGGCCTTGACTCTGTGTAAGCGCTGCTCAGCGATAACGAAAACATCCCTGTGTTATCAACACAGTTTCCAGCACAAATCCAAACCATAGCCCCATACTAGCTACCATGAAGAAAATTAACTCTATCCCAGCCAAAGCCAGCACACCGAAGCTGTGATTTTCCATATTATCTTTAGCACCATTTATTAACAGTAGCAAAAGTAAGTTTTCATTCTTAATCATCAGATGAGGACACTACAATTAGTCTCTTCTGTAACTGGTTCCTCCCTTGCCCTAGGCTCGATGTTGTAGAAATTATCATTCCTCTACAGAGACTCTGCAGTGTTTCCTTTGTATAAGGGGCTACCTAGTTTCTTCTGGAGATTTTGTCCTGCCATTTGCATCTGATTTGCACACCAGTGATGCTAGTGTTGAGCATAGTTTTTGGTGTCACTGTGCTGTCTTTCTTACACTAGTCTCAGGTATCTTGGCAGAGCAGGAAATTGATTTTGCTGGATCAGCATTTCTATGCTTGCTGACAAAACTGTCAGACTGTTTCAAAGATAGACAAAAATAACTGGGAAATTATTTTATCACAAGATGTCTAGGGCTTAAACCAGAAGACTAAGTTTGCTATGAGAAGCAGAGCTGCACAAACTCGTTTGATCAATAGAATCTGACCAGATTGATCAGTACACAAGTAGCTAAATACAGAAATAAAGTAAGTGACCTTGTGAAACTTCAGCCGAGAATTCATTTCTTCAACGTCATCCAATAATCCTTAGGATCCTCTCTTGCTGCTAGACTGATCAGAAACATTATGATCTTCCCTTTTATTGGTACACAAGAAAAACACATGGCTTACACAGCTCTAATTAACCTCATTAAAAACCCAACAGTCCCAAATTGGTTTCACATGAGATACAACAGAATCCAAACTAGCACCAAGAAACATGGTTATTCAATTGTAAGTAGCCACTTCCAAGAAACAGCACATGAAAGCTGTTCAACAGTCATATTACTTGCATTATAATACATTTGACAACTTGATTAATCAAATTCAGTTTTGAGAACAGTTCTATGTTTGAAGCCTGAGGATAGCTGAAACAGTGTATGTGGAAACTGATTTCCTAAATGAGAACAGTGCAGGTAAAGATCTGCAAGGATCTAGCCAGACAGCAAATATGATTCATACCCTACAGATTCTACTAGCCTCAGTAAGAGGCACAATTTATATCGGAGAAAGATATTTATATCAGAAAAATACTGATCAATATATTTATTCACTTTCGCAGAGTAACAGTTATGAGATTGTTACTTTATGAAGTCAGGTGCAGTCATCATTTACTCAGTCTTTTACTGATGAAAATCACTATCAGAATACATTAAGAGTTTAAAAAGAATTAAATTAATTTCTAAATCTGATCAAGTTGGGAGAAAATGTTGCAGCCCAGCGTTAAATTGATTAAATTGGCTTAAGGTGATTATTTGCCAGCTTATGCTGGATAAATACTACAACAATAAATACTACAACAATTAAACTATTTAAGGGGTCCATGAAAGAATGCACCAGTTTAAACTGTTTAAAACCTCTTAATTAAATTGGTGCAACAACTTCTAGATACACAAAATTAGATTCAGTGAGACAGTTCTGTTTTACAAGAGAAAACAATGGCAGCAAAATTGCTGAGGGTAAATGGCAGAAATTCTGCTGTTAAAAGAAGGAAAGCAACCACAACAGCAAAACAAGCAAAGACATAACCAAGTTACAGATAATGTATAGGATAAGGACAAACAAAGAATCTTATAACTAAAATAATATTACTGAATTGTGGCTGTCTTCCTCTAATCTGCCATATCTGAGAAAAATTCAGTCTCACTCAATACTAGTGAACTTTTCTGGGGAGAAAAGGAAAACAAATACCCAGTAAGAGTTTATTAAGATAAAAATATATGTAAAAAAATATACTTTATGACAATTTATCAGTATTACAGCAGCATTGTATACTATTAGCAGATGTTCCATACTGGTCCTTTTGGGTTTTTTTGTATAACTTAAAAACAAAATCCTTTCTTGTATTTTTAGAAAGATTTCCTTCCTTGAGCTAATTCTTTTTTCTTCTGTTTGCCATCTGTGTGTTCCTATGGTCTCCGCTACTCAGTTATTGCAGAGGTCAATGCTTCAAAGATCAGGATGAAAATTTAGCAGATGGAAATCCTTTTGCAAAGGATAGCTGTTTTCATCTAGCACAAAATGGCTCCTAATTTCCAACAAATAGGATGCTTCCGTATCTGCTAGCAGCAAATGACACAAGTCTGCTACTACTGTGCTGTAGGTCATATCTGAAGAGGGCACTGCAAAAGACAGAACAATCCAATTTACTCTTTATTTTCGTTATAGCCCCTGACATTCACGTTCCACCTCCATGAAAGCTACACTGAATTACTGGAAGTGTATCAACATCTGAATAGAAAATTATCTTTTTTTTTTTTAATAATTTTTTTAAAAAACAATGTGCTAAGACTGTTTCTCATTAAACTAACTATAACACCTGTGAGTCATGTAAAACACCTCTCAAGAAGTCAAACAGGATGTATCAAGGAAAGCCTGTCTGAAACACTGCTCAGTTATTTACATCACGAAAGCATGTCAGCTATTTCTAAAAACTGCTAAGAGATTCTATTTTGCATATAAGGAATCCATTTAGTTACTGAATACTTAGTTATATAACATATAATCAATGTTCATACCATCTCACCTCTTGTTGCTACCTCAACTCTGAACTTCTGAGTTTGTCAGACAGCAACTGAAGTGTTCTCTTTGAGGTTGGCAGGGGTTTTTTTGTAAGTCTCATACAATATGAGCAATCATCATATTTCCTGAACAATCTCATTCCAATTCTAAATTGTCATTAATTAAAAATTTTACTTCTATGATGAACTTTGCTGCCTGTTTCCAATCACAAGTAATTCATGAAACAGTACCTACTAATCTGTTCAGCCAGTCTGCGGGAATATTGAGGAAGATTTTTTCCATCAACTCAGACACCACATGAACATAAATTTCATATCCTTCATCTTCTACTGTCATCAAAGCAGGTCTAGATCAGAAAACAAGAGACTCTTGAAAGTTAGCTGCTATGTTTTTTTGATTGAAGCAAAATTTAGTAATACAATGTAATACTACCCTCCAACATAACACCAAGAACTAGAAAAACTAGAAAATCTCTATGCACTCATCTCTGTCAAACCTGTAGAGTTGGAGTAAGTTTGAGATATATATACTGAATTTACTAGTCAACTTCTAAAGCTATCAAGTAAGCCTTACTTTCAGACAACTGCAGAAAACAATGCTTTCGCAGTGGTCTTCCACTGGAAGACAATGAGAACTGCACCGTTACGAAATTAGTGTTATGTCATTTATAGAACCGTTTAGGTTAGAGAAGACCTTTAAGATCATTGAGGCCAATGGTTAACCTAGCACTGCCAAGTCCACCATGGCTTTGAACTTAATATATTTGAAGTATAAATGTTAGTATGTAAGCATATGTACCTACAAATATACAAGGGGTACATGAAGATTTGAAATGCAAAGGAGGGAGACAAGCTTAGGTGTATCACTTGGAATTGTATCATCTCTATCAACATCACCTAATATTGTCTGTCTGAATACACCACTTCATAGCCACTACATAATACCCAGATAGTATCTCTTGTACTATGACAAATACCAAATGTTTTCACATACCACTAAACAGGTAAAAATCTCTCCTCTTCCTGGAAACCTTTTTCTACACAGGATAAGGTCAATAGCATTCCTATTAGGTCTGAAATGAACCTGGTTAAGGACTGCTGTCCCACAAGCACTGGTCTTTTCAAATTTTGCTGTTTCACAAGATTCAAAAGTGATATTGGATGACAAGCAACTGGTAAGAAGTGATAGTTTTTTTAGTACAGGTATTCCCCATATTTCAAGTGTTTGTCTTCTTTCCACCCTGTCATTATTGATGCCATACCTTTTTTATTGTTCCCCCAAGTAAGTCCTTGCTATTGGGTTTTGCTATGCTTCTGTGAGATGATGATACCTTAGCAGTCCTCTATAGGGACATTCAACAGGTAGTTTCTGCTTGCTTTCAAGTTTCTGAGTGATTTTACTAAGCCTAATCATTTACACAGCTGATGCAGCTTCTACCCAACGTACACTCTTTGACTGCCCTGAGACTATATACAATTCGACCTGCAACATCTGCACCATCAGAATCCTCACACGTATTGGAAAATCTCCACTGCTCTGATCAAAGCAGGATGCAATGCTCTTATCCTGACCATCCCACAGAAGAAACTAAAATAGTAAACATCAGGACATATCACAATAATGTAAATCCTGGTTACAGCAATATTGGAACAGTACCAAAACAGTATATGTTAAATAAAGTAATAAAATAAGGCACAATCATCTTCAGTGCAGAACTTTTCAATGGGAGATGCTCCCAACAGGATAAAATGTGCTCACTGCAGAGATGTCAGAAATGAAAGAAGGGCAGTCACTTCAAGAGACTAGCAGAGCTGCACTGTCAAATAGGACAGTCAGCCAGTACTTCACTATATTGACAACTGGAGAGTGTTATTAATAGATTAATTTAGTTAGCATGATGCAGAATATACCTAACAGCACTAATTTGAATGCCTGTGAGGCAGGAAGGCAAATGACTGCAAATATGCCACTTTCCCAACAGGCAAATCATTTGACTTACCATCTGTTAATCTAAACGCTACTGCTAAATTTCATAACCTTAAGTGAAGTGATCAAAAGAGATAAGAGAAGTCCATGCCTGATTGTCTGTGAGATTATTTCAAATCTGTTGGTTTAGACAGAAACCAAGACCCAGACTATTCGTAATCATTAAAGACTGCTGGCTCCCTTCATGAGAGAAAGCTTAGCAACAGTACACTTACATGCTCAGCTTCCCAAATAATTGTGGGCAATTGCTATTTTATCTCTGAAGAAATGTATTTTGGTTTAGACAATTTATGCTGAAGTACGTGAAAGTTATTATGACTTTAACATTTTGGAAACAGTATAATTAAATATGCTTGCAGAGAAATATACTAAGAGATGTTGCAAAATTTAAAGCTTTCAAAACCATAGGTAAATACGGTCTACAGATGTAACTCGCAAACCAAATGATGCATTAGGAAAGACTAATTGTGCTTCATTCCTGGTTATTATATGCTGACTGCCTGTTTCTCAGTTCATACTGTGTTCTCAAGGTCATCTAAGTCTTCTTTCAGATAATCTTATTTACTTCAACAAGAGCGAACTGTCATGGTGAGAAAGAAAATTCAACACAGCCTTCAAAACAGAGCCTAGCACTGTTAAAGTTCTTTTGCTAGCACCACAGAAAATGCAATTTTGTGATTAACTTTATTCCTTAAATACCACTGATTTTAATATGGTGAATTGAAATCATTGTAAAACAGAAACATATTTGAGGATATAACTAAATTTCACTAAAGGCATACATAGTTCTACTAAAATATTCCTTAGAGGCTACTAAGTAAATAGCCTTTAGTACCTGTATACAAAGCTGGTGAAGCATACCAGTGAAATGGGCTTTTCCAATAGTACAGAAGGGTTAGATTCAATCCCTGATGGGTATAAGTATCTAGGAATCTCCTATCTCATTACCGCTACTTTTAAAATGTTCATCTTTTTAAATGACAAACACTCATTGGTATAAACTGAAAAATGAATTATCTGAAGGGAACGCTACCATCATACCAAATTCCAGGGAAAAGATGCTAGGAAACTAAAAGTTTGGGCAAAAACAGATATAAGAAACAAGGACCTCTATGTGATGTCTGAAATCTAGGACATAATCTCTGAAATACAAAATATTTTTCCTTGTCTTAGTTTTCATGATTTCTTCTAGCTTGATATTCATATTGTCCTAGCTCAAAAAGAATATGGAAACAGTTACACACATTATATGACAGCACTTATGTAAAATATAAGTTTCTAGGATCTTCTGCCTGGTTATTACTGCTACTATTAAAGCGTTCAGTGTTCTGGGTATCTAACATAGCAAAAAAAGAAAACTATCTAAGCCTATACACATGCATCTATCTTAAGCTTGTGTCTTCAGCACCTGAAGGAAAAGATGAGCTTCATTACAATCACAGCAGATTAACAAAACTGGGCTCCTACATTTTGAAGTGAAAAGATGATAGGGGATGACTTCACTGACCTACAGTATTGAAACCTGAGATTTTAAGGCTATGTAAGTCTCCTAAATACAAAGATTCTGTCATAATATTTATTTTTCGTATCATAGTGTCTATTTCATATCTTAAATATTCACACTCTTAAAATATAAAAATTTCTATGGTAGGTTAATAAATTACTACATTCCCTGAATCAAAGCAGCAAATCAAATTACAGACTAATCCTATGCTTTAAGAAGTCACCAGTGTTTAGTGTTATTACATTTACTCATACTAAGTAGAAAACAATATGCAGATTTTAGTCCCAAGGAAATGCTGGTAGCTATTGCATTGTTAGAAATAGAGTTTACTGAATTTACTACCTCCTTATATTGAGAGATTGAAAACAACCCGAGATAAGGGGACATGAATTAGCAAACTACAGAAAAAAAAAAAAAAAGTAGTTTTCTACTAGTTGTGCATACAATTTTACAAACAAGACTAACACTAATCATTGACATATCCAGCTGTTGAGTAGCACAATAACGCTAGGACACCATAATTAGTTAATAAGTTAATTTCATATTAACAAGAAATTTCTTTAGCAAGAGACAGATTTTTCTCCAGTTAAGATGTAAAATATACTAAGGTATCCTACAATACAGAATTTGGAAATACTACCAAGGAGATGCATTCTTACTAATCAGAGTGAAATTTCAATGCAAAAATGACAGACTTTTCTTTGAAAAATTTGTGAATTTAAGTTCCACATCAAGATGTGTTCACATGCTGAGAATACAAACATTTGAGATCTTCATTTTTCTATTACCTTTTGTGTAAGAGTAAATTCAGGTCCTTCAGGACCACAGGAGAGATCATAAACTTATGAAAGAGAGGGGGAACCTTTTCAGTTAAGAAAATTCTTTGCACTTAATCCTCCCTCATAGGAAAATAAATAGCATATAAACTTAAAGATGCAAGGCTATTTTGCATAGAGGAAAAAGATTGAGTCACTACCTTGTTAGACAAATGGGATTCTAGTATTTAAATCAAAGTCAAGTGAGAAACTATTGTGTATGCAATGATTCCTTAAACTCACTATGAAATAGCTTAGGAATAATTTTAGAAAGAATTTTGGTAGAAAACGTACGTATTCTAGAATTCTCTTACATCTATGATTGTTTCAGTTAACCTTCTCTACCTACACATCTTTCCAGTAGCTATGATACTTACATTTCAAAAGCCCAAGATAAATTTAAGAATTGAACAATTAGTTAATAATGTTGTTCCTACATCAACTGGATCTGTTTAGTTTATATTCTCTAAGTAAATGTGCATATACATCCTGTCCCACAGTGCCATCTGCTGATAACTTAGTATTTCTGCTCCCTATGAGAATGTTTATTGAAAACATGTTAATATTATTTCCGCAAGGCTAAAATTGATTAATCAGTTTAAAAATATGGTTGTGCGTTCACATGGTTTCAAACTTAGGCTGAAACAAGACACTCAAGGAGTTTTCCTTTGGTCCTCAGACCTCTACTCCATCTTAGCTTACTGACACAGTACTGGGTAAACCTCGTTACTGTATGATGTAGTATTCAAAGAAATTAAAAAGTTAGATTTAAACAAAGAATATCACCTATAAATAATGGCAATATAATACAGCAATTCAAGAACAGCTCCTTGAAAATTCATTAGAAAAACAGGAATTGCTAACCACACCTTAAAAATAGAATTTTATATATGGGGGAACTTAAAATGGAAAAAGCTGTCATTTACTTCCCTAATAGTACACATCACTTCAGTTTTATTTTGTTTACCTGTAGAATGTTTTTACTTTGTTATACGGCAAACATCTAATACATTGCTTGTAGATCATGTTCTCATCTGCCTGTAGTTCCAAACCACATTTAGCACAACCTGAATACGTAATCATAGGCAGAGAAGCCAAAATACACTCCAGTGAAGTGTCAGCACAGAAGATGAGTTGCTTGTACTGACCAGTTGAAATGGTAAACTTCAATTCTAAGATACGGGCTTTCACTCGAACCACTCCTACAAAAAAAAAAAAACAAAAACAAACACAATTTCAGTTAAATCTGTATTCAGTTTTATTTATAACCGAAAGCAAAAGCAACGCTTACAGCTGATTCAAAACCAAAATCATTATCAATAAAACTTCATTATTTTTTTTCCTTTAGTAGCACATGCTCATATTTTAGAGATGATTACGAAAAATCATTTTAGAGATGATTATGAAAAATCCTTTTGGTTAAATATTATTTAAAAATGTATAAAAGTACTACATTTTTAGGTACTATTGTGGTAGATACCAATATAGAACGGCCTGAATAAGAGGTCAAGAGATTAGAATTGTGCAAATAATTTCCAATTGCTTTTCTTCTACACTAATTCAGAGACATTGAAAAGCATAGCTTTAACAACTTAGCTTTCCCCCATTTATACATAAACTAGTGTTAAATGCTGCAATACCAACTTTATTTAGTTACTACTTAATGTTTAATACCAACCTTAGCAATCTTCTAGGTTTACCTGGGAGGGGTGACTGTTTGTGTAAAGTGTATTCTTTGTTCTTTTGTAAGAAGATTTCAATAGCAGTAGCTATTTTACTCTTGCTTTAAAGAATTCCAGTTTTGCAGAAATACTATTCAACAAACTTCCAGTGACTAATCACATCATTACTAGACTGGTTGGTGTGGACAACAAAAGGCAGCATTCCTCCCTATGTTCCAAAGCTATCTTTGTATGGTACCACATACCACACCTATCTCATCTCTGGGATTACTGAACGAAGGCTGCATTCACAGTTTGACTGGGTACTGACCAGCAGCCTACAGAATAAATTCAGACTCCCAGAATTGTGCTAACTTAAAAAAAAAAAAAAAAAAAAAAAAATTATTTTATAAAAAAGAACTTTTTTTTGTTTTTAAAAAAATAAGACCCCAAAAATTGTGAAAAATAAAAAAAAAAAAAAAAAAAAAAAAATTACTTTATCAACAGAGCATCTATTTTGCTTAGTTATGCCCTGCACAACAGACATAATAGAGCTATGGATAACAACTTTACCTGAGCATTTTTCCTCCAAATGTGCCGAGAGCTTTGTCATCTGCATGAGGGATGTTTTGCTTTTCTGAAACTTTTCTTTAAATTCAATTGCCCTTTTATCATCATCAAACAAGCACTCATAAGATGACCACGGAGTTGTGTGCAGTTCAAAGTCACCTGAGACAGAACTATGTTGGACGAGAAGGTATTTGAAGTCCCATATGTGATCTACAGAGCAAAAAAAAGCAAACAGAAGAGTTTACTTTCTATACCAGGTTAATTTATAGAAAGCCAAGGTCACCTACAAGGTTCAGAAGCAAATCAGCAAGATATTCTCATACGGTCAGCTCTCGCAACTTTATTTCAAGCCTGATGACATGTAGAGTTTTTCCTTTCCTTTTCCTATAAACTTTGCGTGAGTCCTCCCATAACAGAATGATGCTTTCATTTCACTTGTACTGAATTCAGCTTTCAAGACAACTCAACTTTTTCAAAAAGAAACCAGTTCTGAAATTTGTCAGCTCTAGGAAGGAAAAGTTGGCAATGTCTAGAGGAAAAAAATCTTCATGTTGATTAATCAACTTCCATCTTTACTATGTCCCTGTTTTTTAATCTTCTATCTCCATAATGCTCCAATTTAAAAATATTAAGTCATCTTCCATCTTCCAATTGACTCTGTAATAAAGAAAAATACTTTGAAAATGGAGATTACAGAAGAGTAATATATTTTGGGTTGTCCTTCACTTTGTTATAAGAATCCAGAATTCACCTACTAATCAAGTCTGATAACCATTTAGGCTGTTATTTTTTCCCATGTTTGCTCAAGCTGAAAGTTGCAGCCAAAATAATTGTTTTTGGAAATAAGTTTAGAAAAATACATATTTTTATTTAATGTATTCAAGTGTCTGTATAAGCATTTTATTAGCATGTTTTAGTATTTTTCTTATTTTGGATTAGTCTGATTTTTGGTGGTAACTTGCTAAAATTGCAAGCTCCTGAAAAATCTGCTGCCAAACAGTGTTTTATGGTAAAATACTCCAAAAAACCCCTTCTCCTCTGAGGATCAGTCTAGTTTCATGCACCTCATATCTGACTAGACATCTTGCAGCTCCCCAGAACTGAGTATGCTCCAGTCCAAAGCAAGATTCAAGCAATAACACTAGAGCAATACTGAGGGAAAATCTAAGCAAGAGGAAACAAACAGGCACTTGGCAAGAGGGGATATATGGGAGGACGTAGTCTAACTAGGGTACAAGATTTGGTTGATACCTGAATTTAACCTATTATTCAGATCTTCAACATTCCCCTGTTGATTAGAAAACTGATCACAAAACATGAGTAAACTATAAGTAATCAAGTTTACAGAAGTGTATTTAATGAAACAAATCTTTCTTTTTGATAATCTAAACCAGATCAGCATAAAGCATGAATTGAATGTCTGATGACTGTATACTGGAAACTTGGACTGATTTTTAGCAAGAGATGAAAAATAAATTTAGCTTTTACTGGCAACAATTTTTAGATGCTCTAGAACTGTATAGTCTTATACACTTTATTTTAAGTATGTAGACAATTTAAAAATTACAAGTCTTCATAACTTCCTCTACCAGACTATGAGGTTTCTAATCTGCTAGTACAACTAATAAACACATACCACAGCTGATCTATGGCTCCTAGCACGGATGGACATTGTGCTCTTCCTGTAACTCACTCATTTAGCTGTTGTGTTGTGCATGCTTTAGTATCATGTGAATTTATCTTTTTGGCTATCTTACTGGGATCAAATGTTCATGGTTTGTCTGTGATTAAGTACTTGAACAGCTGAGAAATCACTCTTATCTTGAATTTCAGATAATCCTTTAATCATTAAAATGCCAGCTTCTAGATGCACAGAACACTACCTGGAGAATAAGGCACTAGCTTTACATCAAATATAAACACTTAATACTAGAGATCTACATCTTATACTTTTCTGCTTTAAGTATCAGAGAATATTATTGTGTCTTAGAAATTACCTGTGCCATCTTCTTTTTGCAGCTACAAAAATTTTAAAAATTCTATATTTTGAAAAGTGTAACATTCTAGCATACTAAATTCTGTAAGATTTCTAAGCATCTAGTGAACAGTATATACCTGCTCACACTGAAGTATGCACAAAAATAAGAGCCATGTAGGTATTATGTAGTAAAGTTAATTGGTTAATGCTTACATTGGACTATCTTCCTCAAGTAGTTTAAGAGGCAGGTCTTGCCGTTAAATGATTTCTAGGAATAGAGATTACTTATAAATTGAAGTGGAACTCGCAGAATTTAGAGTGTCTACATTTAATAGGTAAAGATTCACTATGAGGTTGTTTAACCTTTCTGGGTTTTATTTTGCGCTATACAAAAACTGGCTTTTTAGGCAGACATACTCAGCGCTTCAAGTAATACGGCATTTGCTTCCCAAGTGTATCCATTGACCAGAAATACAAATTTTTAAGTTATCAACTTAAGAAAAAACTAGTTTCACTTATTTTAAAAGAAGCCAGCCAAGAATAAAACAAAATTTGGTAGTCACTGCTAAAACACAGGCTATGTAATTCTTGCAAGAGATGCTTTTAGTCAGTTACAACGGGTCTTGATAGCAGGACCATTAGGATATAAAGCTTGACACTGTAGTAAGGTAGAAAGCAGAGAACGAAAATCAGAAGTAGAAAAAAAACCCCAGCAATTCATGCTAAACCAGACAACAATAAGGAAGACTCAGCAAAACTGATAACATAATTAACACTCAAGTTCTCTTTTTTTGTAGTTACATAACTAGGCACCAGTGCATCTTGTGTCTAGATTCAAGTTTCTAAATACTCATGCTTTCTCTGTCTTCTTAAGTGAGTGCATTCAAATTCTGTTGCTGATGGCACTGGTTCTAAATAGAGGAGACATGTTAAAATTGGTATCAAATATGTTGCCCTTCCAAGGGGAGTATTTAAAGGTTGAATGGGAAAATGTTACCAGCTGAGCATTTTAAAGATATTAATAGCATCACAAAAAACTTTTTACAGCTACCTATAGGTAGAAGGACTTTACCTTTTTTCCTTTGAAGCTGAGGGCACCAGGCAGCCCCTGCTCCCCACAGCACCATCCTGTAGTGTTGATCTCTGTTCTGTTCTACTGTTAGAATAATTTTTCTTTGGTTGCCACCTCTGTAGCTATACACAGATTCTGAAAAAGTTTGAAATTATATGACTTCTACAGTAAAAAGCATATAAACACACAAACCCCACATCTCTCAATACTAAGATGAAACCATGCTGCTATTGCATTTTATGGTACAATTACAAGCAAACAAGAATATACCTACAATTTCTTCAGGACAGAATGAAAGCAATCTGATTTCTTCAGCAACATGAATCTAGTTTGAAGGAATGCATAAAGTAGATTAATTTACCTTTATCCACCTAAATACTCAGCAACTGAACACCTCCCTTTGAAACAGTAGGTATCTGAGCAACTTTCAGCTCCCACTCATCCTGACTGGTATAAGTGGAAAGAAATTGTACTCAATCTCTCAGACTGTCATAATTGGCAGTTAAAGTTCCTGTAACTTCTGTGGAGTACACTGAAAGAAACATTTCTCTAGAAGTTTTCACATAAAAGAAAACTGTAGTCACGTACAAGCACACTAAGAGGATTAGTAACAGTACACATAAATTGAAACAATTAAGTTCTCTACAGCACTTACCCAGGATACTGCCTGTAAGTTTCAGTTCCACACTAAAACTACAATATTTTTCATAAATAATTTTTGAACAAGAAATCTTGCTTTAAATATCTAACAGTTCTGAGATTTATGTACCATAATAAATTATGAAGATTTCGTCTTCAAAATTTTCCATTTATAATGAATAAACATGATATTGACAGTGTGGGTAAAAATCTGAATCTTACTAATACAAGCACTAATACAAGATGATAGTGCAATATGATCAAATTTATGTGCAAAGCTTGAAGACAAGCACTGAGAAACAGTGGTACTGTAAAGAAAAGATAATCAGAACAGTTATGCAGGAAAAAAGAGAGGAAGACTCCTTTTCCAGGTGGGAACAGTTGTCTTTAACTGCCCAAAGCATGTTAAAAAACACAGCAAGACACTGCATGAAATACTGAGAATGCCCCCAAGATAATTTGGGTTTTTTCATTCCAGAAGGTGGAGAAGATGCTAGGAAGCAGCTGTAAGGCCTGATTATTAAGAAACAGAAACAAATTATGAATTTTAACATAGAAAATTGCTTCAGCAAAAGGAATCCTGAAATAACTGCAGTCACTATTAGAAGAAAAGAAATATGTGACAGAAGAATAAACTCAAAAAATCAGTACATGGACTGTTGACCATGATTCTTTGACGGAGAAGAGTCTTTACAATAAAAATATACAGGAAACTCAGATTTCGAAAACAAATTATATTAATGAGGTCATTCTCTGTTGTGCCTACGTGGAAGAAACAGGAGTATCGCAGCAAGACATCTTAGTAGTTTCGCACTGTGCATTTTCCAGTGTTGAAAATCAAAAAGAACTTGTACAAAAAGGCACACAAGTAAGGATTATTATAAAGAAATATTGCATGTATTTAAAAAAACATGAATACTTAGCTTTAAAAATTTATTTTAAGTAGAAAAAAATAAACAAGAGATGTTCCAAATAAGATATTAGAAAAGAGCAACACAGTTCCATTATAAAGTAAGAAAGGCAAGCAAATCCTAAAACAGTAGATTAAAATAATCAATAACTTATTTCATTCTGAAAAACACATGATTTATAGTGCAACCAAATTTTCCTTTAATGACAGGATGCTTACATGGAAGGTAGTTGGCAGGTGAGCTTTGAATTAGTAAAGCTTGACTGTCCCACGTGACATTTTCATAAACCAGCCCCCTTCCTCAAGCAGTGGTCTACAGCAAGAATGTACCTCTCAAATTTCAAGAGCCATTAAAAAACATATTTATGTTCCTCCACCAGAACTGCCA